AGATAGAGATTTTTCTAATCGATATTGTTTAAGTAGTAGATAATGTTCAATTGTCCCAATTAAAATAAAGGTAATCGAACACATACCGGATATATTAATAACATACCATCCTAATTTACATACGATAAACGAATGGGAAAGACATCTTTTCTACTCTTCTGCTGTCTGAAGAAAAAAATACATGAGAGAGCAGTGACAACCTTATTTAATGATTATTAGTAGAAAAAAGACAAAAGGAAAAAAGAAAAGTGAAGTTCATTTTTGATTGACTCATATAATAATTAATGTTGTATCTCGCGCAGGCACACACAGATGTGATTGATAAAGATTGCGCTGTCTTCGTCTTCCACTATACCTGATGATAATAATTATTGTCTCTGTGTGAACCTACGGAAGACACAACTTTAATTATTAATTGAGTCAACCAAAAAATGAACTTCTCTTTTCTTTTCTCTATTAAAAATCAACAAATAAAGTATACTGTTAATTCGATTTATTTTGTAATTTATAAAAAATCGCCTTTAAAATCGAAAATGCTTTTAGTGCTTTTATAAAATCGTTCACAATTTTATAAGAATATTAAAAATACTTATTTTCTACTTTGTTAAAAATCGAGTCGATTTTCAAGAATTTTGATTTTCAAAATAGATCGAAAAAATCGACTTGGTTCTTGATATAATAGAAAAAAATTTCTGAGTTTCTTTAAAATTAAAGAATCAACTGATTTTGCAGAAAGTCCAACAGATTTTTTAGAAACAGTATTTAATTTTGTCTAAAATAAAATTAATTTCTGGAAATCGTCTTTATTTTCTATGAATTTGAAAGTAGCTCGCTGACATTTTTTAGTCAAACGAGAAGATGTAACGTTGATAAGTACTGTAATAGACACAGACTCATAACCATCCCATGTCTATAATTCTGATGTAATTAAATTAGCAAGATTTTATATATTAGAATTAGGAAAAACCTGTTAAAGAAAACGGTCCTATGGAAGATTGATTCTATGGATTTATGGAACAGTGGCGTCTTGAAATAAAAATAATGAGAAGTATTAAGTTGGAAAGAGTCAGAAGTAATGCATTACAAGTTTGTGTACTGAATAGTTGGTTTGACAAATTATCTTTAATACTAGCAAAAAAGGAGTTACTTATGGTTATTTTACCAAAAATGTCTCCCATCTCACGTCAGTAACGGAAAAGACCTGAGCAGAGATATTTTACATTGGTCATGATCTCATAATTATTAGGTATACACCAGTTTCAGTTAAAAATCAGTTAACTCTAACTGTAAAACTGTAAAACTATACAGTTAAAAACTGTCACAGTTACAACTGGTACATACATCAGCATATATATACTTCCAATGTGTTCATGTTTTTTAACAGACATCTTTACAAGAGCAGACATTTTTCTATTAATAAAAAGAATAAAATCAGAAAGTAACAAATTTTATATTTTCATCAAATGTTCATCTTTTATATATTTAAGGAAGAGAGTGCTCACTGTAAACTTATTTCGTACTGCACCAACTTCGCGAACTAACATTACACTAATTAGAGTATACCCATTTCTATCCTTTATACTAGTTTAAAGTATACGGGTTGTACACAATGTTGAAACTAGTATAAAGGATAGAAATGGGTATACTCTAATTAGTGTAATGTTAGTTAGACAAATGGGAATAATGTTTCGAAATGTAATACTAGAATTATAACAACTCTTTATATACATAGAGATTTAACTTCGGCGTTATTCTTGTTTAACAGTTTATAAAAGTAGCATAATAAAATGAGTTGATGAATATGTATGGATCTTCTCTAATTAATGTAATTTTAGTTCGCAAAGTTACTACAATACGAATAATTTACAGTAAGTACTATTCTCCTTGAATATATAAAGATGAACATTTGCTGACAATATAAAATTTGTTGTTTTCTCATTTTATTCTTTACTCAGAAAAACAGAAGAATTGCTCTTATAGGAAAGTCTAAATAGTACCAGAGTAGAATAAACTGTAAAAGAATAGCATATATCTGCTTTTGATATGTTGATGAAAGAATAATCTTTTGACCCAGCAGTTAATTGTCTTTGAAGAAATAATCAAATTAACTAGAAAAGAAAATGAAGATCTTGTATACATTGACATAAAAATTATTATAAAATGAAACGTTACGTAACACCGGAATACAGGAATACTTAAGGAAGAGGAATAGCTTTCAGCAAATTTTACTTTTTGTGGAAATCACTTTCTTCGCTTCGGATCTACTCGTTTCTCTATTATTCAATAATTGTACCCATTTTGTCAATAATCTCTGTCTATGTACATCACTTTTTTACTTTCTTGATTTCTATCAAATTTACTTGATATGCACTGGTCAACGCCTTGAATGGGAAAAAGTTTTCAAAATACAATTACTAACGTTCTATCTAACTAAACCCGAAGAGAAAGTCTGAAAGTCGTGATAGTTGAATAAGGAAAATCAAAAATGATAAGGTCAAAGAAAGGAAGATGTAAGCGGTACTTTTGATCAGTATAGAGCCTTTTATGCACGGTCTGATGAAGCCAAAAAGAATTGCTCTTTGTCGAACATCGCTTAGTCTGCCGGACATGAGAATTAATTCTTCTGAAAAATAACAAAAAAATCAGAAGCTTGAAATCTTGTTAGACAAAAATAAGAGAAATCTCTAATACTTCTTAGGCAGACTTAATTCGAATTATCCATTTCTTTTTAACATTGTCGAACACACACGACTGAACATAGAAGTAAAAATCAGCAAATAATAATACTTCTTCTTCATCCGGAAAAACTGAAACCAAGGATAGATCGATACCGACATAGGAATCAATGTCAATTTCCATGAGTACATTACCAAAGCATTCTGCCGCTTCCTTATTTCGACTTGTTGATGTGAACGCTTGAAATATATTAAGTCCACTTGTGCTTACTTGTCGATATCGTTCAATCAAATCGTCTGATAATTGACAACCTCGATAAAGCGTAGTATTTTCATGGTGAAGTGGCCTGAGTTCGTAAAACAGGAGTGCAAATGGGCCAAAAGTAGGCACCTTGGTTTTCGAATAGGGATTATGTATTTCATCGCCCAGTAAACGCCGTATTTCATTCAGCTCTTGGAAAGCTTGTTCAGTAATAACTTAAGCATTTTTTAAGTTATTTTACTTGCTTATATGACCGCTATGCGGTTTCTGAATATATGTATACAAAAAGGTACTCATCGTGTAGAGACGAGCACACACCTTCCAAACTTCTTCTTCGCATCCATTTTTGACACGAAGCAGTTGTAACGCCATCCATTCAGCATCTCGTTCTTTTCCTATCAGCTTTCCTTCGATGATTAGGCCTTCAGCTGCTTTTTCTACCATTATCCGACGAGCAGAGATATCTTCTAATTTAAAATACGGAAGATGAAATTCCTTGGAGATTACTCCAAGAACAGATATCCCATAATCTTCGCCGCATACGAAAGATCGAGAGGCTATCACAGGAATAGGCACGGATGAGAATCTTTCACATAGCGTTCACAAAAGACGTTTTTTGCGCAATAGCTAGCAGAGTCATTTTATTCAATATTGTTCCAGCATATAGGAATGAATGTTTTCTCTGAGCCTTGTCATTTGTTGTGTATTTTGAGTTACGCCTTTGACGCGACACGGACTGTCTATGCTGATTCTTGATGTTTGAATTTGATCGAAGAATTATTGAGAATTACCTCCGTTGACTGCTTTTGAAAATTCTTCTTCGATTATAGCGGTTTCAACATCAAAAAAGGACTTTCAATTAGATGTAAGGATGTTCAACTGTGTTCTTGAGTCCAGGCTAAAATGGAAACAATTTTCAAATGTCCCTCTTCGATTTTCACATCTACTCTACGCATTGCTGACGAAGGGATACAGCGCTAGGCATACAGTCAAAAGAATGAAAAGAAATTCTTACCTGTGAATTATAGATGTGGAAGGTAAAAGTAATAATGATAACCTGCCTTATCTAAACACCGTTTGTGAGGAAGACAAAACAAACACAACGCATATCTCTGTGCAACGCAATTGATGAAAAAGAAAACCATACGATCATACGGAATTTGAGCTTTATTTTATCTTAGTCTTTATTTCTATCATTCGTTCGTGACATGGAAACAGAAAAAGAATTGAAAAGAAAAATAAAGGGACCTTTTTTTAACTATTTTTTTTCAAACATTTTTGTTATTACTTCTACCTTCCACATCTATAATTCACAGGTAAGAACTTCTTCTGGTACGAGAGTGAGTCACCAGATCACATTCACTGACAACCTGCTTGGCCTGGGGTGTTCCGTCTACTGGAGAACAAAAAGCTTGAGACGTGGAGACGTAAAGATGTAGAGACGTAAAGATGTAGAGACGTAAAGATGTAGAGACGTAAAGATGTAGAGACGTAAAGATGTAGAGACGTAAAGATGTAGAGACGTAAAGACGTAGAGACATAAAGACGTAACGCACGACATGTATGGATAAACGGTTGTGCAATGTGCTTTGAACAATTCTGTACTTCTTGGCAGCATCAATAAACATATGTGTGTACTACGGTCTGTCGTGTAGTAGGTGTCAACTATGTCAAGATAAGACTTAACAGAGTGCTACCAGTCTGTATGAGCTGAGCAGTAGAGGTAGAGCACATTGATCAAACTGAGGCTCTTGTTAGTTAGATAAATCTCGCCCAAGAGTTTTGTAAGTCGATCATTCTCCACTTTCGCGGCACATACAACTCCATCACAACGCTGTAACATTACAACGGAACTGTTGTTGTGCGGATAGTGTGCTGATCGTTGGAGAATTTCTGCGTACGTTTCCTGAGAGTATTACCAGCGTGGGTAGTTTCGCTTGTCATACGAATGATACCCCAGTTCAACGCCTTTTGCATGAGTTATGCTTGAATACACCTTATACAATAAATTCGTCTTCGAAACAGATGGCCCTTACTTGAAACAAGAGTGTTTCTTTGTGACTACTAAAAAGAAAAATTGTCCTATCATGGGTACACTTAGTGTTAGTGCCTATCTTTGTGATAAGTTACAACTAGACAGAACAACTTTCATGCAGCAAAAGTAAGAGGTTGTGAAAAAATTATTTAATTTAGTTATTTAATTATTTTATTCTTAATAACTTGTAGGTGGAGCAGTAGAAATAAATTTAGAAATTATTGAGTATAACACTGCTACCAAAATTTCATTTCTTTTATTTCATTTTTACGTGTGAACGAACTGGCATAAAAACTTGGCTCTATCCTTTAAACAGTAGGACGAAATAGCTTTCCAAGATGACCATCTCCGATTTGGAGCCCGATCAGAAAAATGCAATACCTAAACCTTATTTTTACGTGTAGAACCTTCAGTTACACCTGCCTACATGCAGTTTCGAACACTGATCAAGAAAAATCTGTCCTCTAAGTTCCAAATTATTGTGAAACGAAAATATTGAGTTTTGCCCTAAAGTTAAAGATTTTTTGCAAAAGTGAGACCCTTCGACCATTTTCAATTTTTCTTCAGCAAAACGCGCACTTAAACGGTTTAAAGATGATATTCGTCTTCCTTCTTCCTGCAAAGCTATCGGAGTTATGTGTCTTTAGTGGAAAAATAAAATAGTGCTACATGTTCGACTTTGGTGCGCCATAAATAAACCACCTTTACTAGCAGCGGTAACACTATTAAAAGTAGAGATATGCGCGTTAAATTAAAACTTTATATGTAACACTGCTCTATCCTTTCTCAAGGATAAAGCGATAAAATACATTTACAGTACTTCGGTCACAGATCAATCGTCACCGCTCGACGAGAATAAATGGACATGAGTAGGGATGTTCATTTTGGCCAACAATGTAGTGATATTATTTCAGTCAACGTAAGCCTCTTCATAGCCAGATGCACTCTTCGGGATAACTTTGCATGTGAAACGACTTTTATTAGAAATAGAAAAAGCAAACATTGAAATCCCAAGCATGAAATTTCATAAGAAACAAGCTGGCTGCTCTTGCTGAAGAAGCGAGCGTTTCTTCAGCTTGCTAAACGAGTAAAATTTCGCGGGTGTAGCTAGCTGCAACCGCTTCTTCGTGCGCCCGCTACTATACCACAGGAACAGAACTAGAAATATATGTTTTTCCTTCTGTTTCGATGTGAACTGAATTTTGAATAGATCTGAGATGTAATTAGATTAATGTAATTAGGATTATTCACCATGAAGGAAGCACTTCTTAGTGTTGGGCGTACTAACAATATTATATAAACTTTAATTTCTAACATCTTTTCGTCTAGGCACAGGTTTATGAAAGCTTCCTTTATGGTGAAAATGTAATATTTTATATTAGTTTTGTTTTTGCAGTATGAAGGAACCGTTTCCAAATATTGTGCCAAGAGGAAATAATGTTGGAATTAAGTTTTACATACTATTGTTTCTAGGTTCAACTCTGAAAAATGCTTCCTTCATGTAAAACCAAGTTAATAGTATGCGATTTCCAACTAGTTAAAAGTCGTGTTAACCAATTCGTTAGTAGCTGAAGCGGACGCTGACAGCGCCCGTTCTATGGTGTGTACATTAGCTACTTGCAAGAATATAGTCAATCCAATTCGTTGGTCGTCTCTCAAGAAGCCATGAGAGAATATTTGAGTTTCCAGTTAGACCGACACGATTGTAATAATTAAATCGTCGATGGAATGCCAGTATTGTATAATCTTTGTTTTTACATTCTTCGTCGACTGGAAAATCTTTGAAAGCCTCTTCAATGGAAATTTGCTGTATATCAATCAGTTTCCCTGTTTGTTTACTAACTAGTTGAACAACATCACGATAAGATATATGGTCTGGTCCACATAATTCATAAGTAGCTCTAAAATGTTTGTCTTTTTCCCATAATACTTTAGCAACTACTTCAGCTACATCATCTCTCGATACCCAAGACATCCTTATATCTGGCGAATATGGTAAATACAGACATTGTTGATGAATAATTTGCTTAAGATTATTATTTTCAAAAAAAGGCATTGGCTGAAGAATGGTATAGTTCAATTTAGATTCAATTAGATATTGTTCTATTCGAGATTTTACTTGATGAGTAATCATTTGTTCCAATTGAGGATGTGCTACCGAACAATAAACAAAGTGTTCAACATCGTTTTTTTGAGCGGCATCGATCATAGCTACAGCCATATCGTACTCTTTTGGATGCAGCGGTGGTCCATTATGAAAGACCGATTTCACATGTTTCATTGCTTCATTTAACTTAGTTGGATCCAAGAAATCAGCAATTACTATGTCAAATTGATCACGATATTTTTCTTTTAATTTACTTGCTGCTTCTTTACTTCGTACCAATGCTCGAATTGAAAGTTGATTGTTTGTTAAAAGAAGATTTATTAAGCATAAACTTGTACCAGATCTTGCTAATGCAACAAGTACTAGATTATCAGGTATTACGGGCTGTTCTATAATCGATTCTGGTATAATCGACTCTGGTATAACTGACTGTTGCATAATCGGCTCCTGTATAATCGACTCTTGTCGATTAGGTTTATAGATTTCATCTATACTGCGGCGAACTTTCTGGGATTTTTCATTTAAAACTTTTGATGATAGCGTTGATAATTCATTGAGTTTACCACTCATCCAATCCATTTTTTTCTTTTGTCGTATCTAGAACTACGAAAAATAGTCAGGTTGTAGACATAGTGGAAAGTTTAGGAAATTGTTCGACTATTCGCAACCACTCACTCATGCTATGGTACTGTTTTACAGGAAATTTGGCTAGGATAAACACAGACAGCAGCGATTCATCTACAAAATTTTGCATCGGGTATGGTCATTATAGTCTAAGTACTTTTTATCTTCATCTTCACTCAGGCACCTTCTTAAACTTGTATATTGGATTTTTCGTCTCAGTTTTTTAAAATATCCTGCTAAACATTGAAAATTATCCAATACTGAAAACATGGGGTCTCCCCCATTTAGATTTTCCTCAAACGTTCCTCGTTTGTAGAGGATACTTCGAAGTATATGTCCTGAAGTTTTCTCAGCTTACTCAGCTGGTTCTTGCCTACATGGATAGAGAAATGTGTGGAGAATATTGACTACGAGAAAATATGTAAAAACGTTTGTTCTTTCCTTCCTGCTATTGAATAATTAATACTAATTAATTAATACTCTACTAGCTTAATACTCTATTAGCCCGATTAATAAAATAAAGATTCAACGAAAAAATTCAAGCAATAGTTCATCTAATAGAGAATTTTACGGGCTACAAGATGGACTACCTCAAAAATTTCAGAATTCATTTCTAGCCGCTCGATAAGCCTCGTAAGTCGAAAATTTAACAGCAATTCTTCCTTTTTTTCTCTTCATCGACGTATTTTTCACTAGCCTTTTTCTTGAATATAATACTGTTATGAATTACTATATGAACTATCATACTCCACCGTCGTCGTCAAGTTTATCTTCAGAGAAAAAAGTTCGATCAGATTCAATATTTGAAATAATGAGTATGTTCGCTGGGAATAATAATTAATGTTAATTAATAAAACAAACATTTACATGTAATCAACTTTGTCATTCAATAGTTAATTCAAATACTTTTGTGAATTCTCTTGAAAAAGTATTTAAGAAAGTATACAAAGATCAACAAGAGCAAATTGTGAAATTAACTAGTGAATTAAATGATGTTAAAATGAAAATGAAGTATATGCAGCAATATAATAAGCGAAAAGATTTACCGCTATGTGGTGTTCCATATAGAAAAGACGAAATTGTAAGCGAAATAATTACAGAACTCGGTAATCTATTAGGTGTTAATCTGAATCAAAAAGATTTCTTCTATTAATCGCTTACCACCATCAAAACGAACAAGTAATAAAATAAAAATGGCTATAATCACCGGATTTGTACGTTGCACCGAGAGTAATTTTGTTTGTCAACATAAAAAATGTCGTGAAAATGATTTTTATTAAAATATATTTATAAATGAACATATAACATGTTCAAATAATCAACTTTATATTTATGCTAAAGAGAAGTTCAACAACAAAAGACTATATACACATAATGGAAATATTTAGTTATATTTGAATAAAGGAAAATTTAAGAGATTTAATTCAATCGAGATATTGATAATGCGCAAAATGATTCCATGTGAACTGTGATATCCAAGTATGAACTCCATGAACCTCAGCCTAGTCAACTTTACGTGTTATTTTTCTTTTCTCCTTTCTCCTTTTTTTTCATTTCTTTCTCTTCTATTAAAAATTTATTCATATGTCAAACGTGGATATGGGCGGGATCAAGGCTTTTCAGTCTCGGTTCCGTAAAGTTGTTTCCGTCCCGTCCCGATCCCGGAAAATTTTGATGGTCTCGGCCTTTGAAGCAATTCTGCTCACACGAAAAAAATACTCTATTCGTGTCGGAAAGTTCAGGAGCTTTCTAATACACAGTTATCTGTCCCTTAATGGATGAGGTGTGCCGCATGCTTTTCCTTCTGATCATATAAGCAAAATAACTGGTACATGCCTAGTTACGTAAGATCGAACAGTCAGACTTCCTGACGAGTTTCCACAACGTTCATATTTAAGCCCCCTCTACCCCAGGTCAGAAACCTATCTCAACCTAGGTAAGTCTGATCTGAACCAAACTTTCAGGGAATATTGATCATGTCAAAGTGTGGTAATAAAGTTTATTTTTGGCGCCGCTGCAAGTTTCGTGCAAGGGCGTCACAACAAGGACTAATAATAGGCGTCTACCATGAGCAAGAAATTTCATTCCAGATAAATGATAGCGAGCTCGGACTATTTTTCTTTTGCAGTAAACACCTATGCCTTGGAGTGAATATTTTCTTCACTTATGGCGAACGTTACCTTACGGTGGAATCAACCGTAGATAACAAAACGGTGACTGAAAGAATGTGGAACTAGTGCGCACCAGTGCAGCATAGCATGCGCACTGGTAGTGCCGGCCTTTTTAGTCTAATAATCAAAAGCAAAAGAACTGAAGGAAAGGCGAAGAAGCGAATGGAATACAAAAGCTAGCTGAAAATTAGCAGCATACGACGTTTTACGACGAAAAAAGACCGTACCTGACGTTTTACGACGTCCTATTTTGACGTATCCCATCGTAAACGGTCGCATCCATTCGAGACAAAATACGACGTCGTAATTCTTCTCCACGGTAGACGTCATCGTATTTCGTCGTAAACAGCGTCGTATTTTGATGTATTCTACAATATCCATCATCGTACCTTATCTTCATACTTATGAAACTTGCATTTTCTTTTTAAAGATCGTTCCGTTCTTCTGATACAACAGTGAAAATATCTTTTTTCAAGATTTTCGTTTTTTGGTTTTTAAATTAAATTTTAAAATTTCATACTTTTCAATTTAAAAATCAAAAACAGAAAATTTTAAAAAGAGCTCTCATGAGGAACTCTGTAATTCGATTCTGAACAACTTTTGTATCCAGAGTTTTGCTTCAAAATGCTTCCTTCGAGCGAAACTAGCCGTAAGGCTTTTTTCAAAATACTTTTTCCTCTAAAATTTTCTCGGGAAGGTGAAAGTTAAATTTCTACGTCAAACTTCATTCGGGAACGAGGAAAAGGTTTTCTTCTCATATCTATCGAACTACGTCAGAATCAACTCTTCACACAAAAAACTGAAGTTTTTATTGAAATTTTAAAAATACACCAAAAAAGATCCAAAAAACACTTACAAAGGTTTTTTATCAAAAACGACAAATTCGGGTATCGAAAGCTTTGTTGGGACTTATACTCCAAAATGTCCTCTACAAACTGATGAAAAAAGCCGGTTGGGTGGATACCCACGTAAATTAAATGTGAACTATAACATTCAATATCCTTAGCATTATCAACATGAACATAAGTGATTGTGCTTTATGCTACTGTTGACAATTGTTTCTTATACAATCTTCATTTTATCAAGCCTTAACAAAACACGTAAGCGGACAAACATACTTTCTTTTCACCAGCTAAATTGGTTTTATAATCTAAATAGATATCATAATATGATTACTTTGCATTAGATAAGGATACAATGGTGAGAGATAATAAGCGGAGGAATGTGCATCAAAATAACTTTTATTACGAATACTGAGCAGATACAATAAATAACCTTTATGCTTCTTTCTTCTTTTGTGTGTATTATTAAAATTT